TAGAATCCCTGGGTCCCGGACCCCGCAGTCGAAGAGCCCAAAAACCCAAAGCCCTAAACTCCACACCACCGAAACCCCGCAGCCCTAAACGGTTTAGGGTTTAGGGCTTAGGGCTTAGGGTTTAGGGGTTTGGGCTTAGGGTTTCAGGATTCCGGGTGTCGGGATCTTGGGAATTGGGGCCCCCTGGGCATTTTTGAGCTCATGGGTCCGCAAGCGGGGTTCTTCAACTTGGGATGAAGCCGCCCCCCTTGCAGTCAAGAGCTGCTTATTTGGGTTGAAGCTTTGGTGCCCTAAACCCTCAACCTTAAACCCTCAACCCTAAACCCTAAACCCTAAACCGTAAACCGTAAACCTAACCCTGAGGCCCTAAAGCCTAAACACCAAAGCAAGCCCTCCGGCTTACCACCAATCCAACCTACTGGGGGGGGGTGTTACATCGATGCCTGGGTGTTCGAAGTTTCCGGCTGTTCCTATGGGCCCAGTAGGAATCCCGGTATATTTGTTTTATGTGGGACATTCCAGCCGAGATAATGTACTTGGGGGTTCCATCGCACAGCAGCGAACAATCTACTGAATGGGGTTGGTGGGGGACAAGTACATTAGTTCCCTAAACCCTAAGCCCTAAATCCTAAACCCTAAACCCTCCAACTCCCCTAACGGTTTAGGGTTTAGGGCTTTGGGGGACTCCCCCAGTTAAACCCTAAACCCTGAACATCTCCTTTGCCAGGGATGCAGAGGACGGCGAGGCTTATGTGAGGGAGCTCTGTGAGGTGGTGGAATCCTCAGTAAAGCTTAAAGGGGCTTTGGGGTTTAGGGTTTAGGTTTAGGGTTTAGGGTTTAGGGTTTCGGGTTGAGGGTTTTAGGGGTTTAGGGGTTAGGATGGTTTGGGGGTTTGCAGCTTAGGGTTTCCGGTGAAGGGTTTAGGGGTTTCAGGTTCCTGGGTTTAGGATGCTTTGGGGGTGCAGGGTTTTCAAGTTCGGGACATAAAAAGGATCCCCAGCGTTGCATCCAACAGTGTGCAAAACCCGTCCTTGGTCTTGGTGTTGTTTCGCTTGACTTTGTTTGTTTTCGCTTTCTTCCATGCCATGCCCTGTAGATTCTAGCTCTGGAGGCCTGGAAACAGTTGCTGTCAGGTGTTGCCAGACGGCAGGGCAAATTAGCAAAGTGCCCATGGTGTAAAATGGGAGGAAGTGCCTAAACCCTAAACCCCAAACCCTAAACCCTAAACTCTAAACCCTAAACCCTAAAGGATTGATTTTTCGATGATATTCCGACTCTCCCGGGCACTTGAGGTGCACGCCTTGCGCAGCCCGTGCCTTCGATTCCGAATCTTGCGCGATGTCGTGGGATCCCTGGCAGCTATCAACTTTTAAGTGCCCTTCGCCCATCGCTGTCGTTGTTGTTCCAGATGATCTCGTTTCCATCCGATTCAGCTTGTGCCCCAGGGTGAAGGGTGAAGTAGTTCGAATTCCCGGCTCTTCGTGCTGTTCCCAGTTTGCTCATCGACACAAGGGATCCGGTTTGCAGTTCGTACTGGATCACCAGAAGGCTCAGAAATACCCGAAATGTTGAAGATGCATCTTTTGAAGTGCATCCAAAACGACTGGAGGTCGAGATGCTTGACCAGGGCTGGTTCCGTGCAGAGAGCAACCACTGCGAGCAGGATGATTGCACGACTACAGCAAACTCGTAGCTCTCAACCAAGAATCTAGACACTGGGATGGGGTGCTGTTGGTGCGATGTGTTGACGGCCAAGCATCTTGAGGTGTAATGGCACAAACACATCCGAATGACATCGACATAATGACGAGGATGAGATGACTGTTGCACGTTGTTTGTGTACACCTCGTAGAGGGTAGATGCATCTGGGTTCTCGTGGATGTTTTTTCTTTCTCATGTTTGCTATGCATATTCCTTAGGATGTTCCATGCCTTCGCCCAGTCTCAGAATGCAGTCGCAAGGGCTGGACGACCGCTTCTCGCGCAATGTGATCCATGCAATCGTTTGCTTTGCATTCGACGCTTGGCTGATAACTTTGCCGGCTCTTGCAAAGCTTGCGAGGGTTCTGGAAGTTCTGGGCGAGTGTACACATCTTTCAGCCAGACAGGTATGGAAAGATGTCAGCTTATTTTGAGAAACCCGTGTTCAAGACTTCTTCACACCTGCACTAAGCCCCAAACCCTCAACGCTTCATGGACAGCGAAAGCTCAGAGGATATCTTCGTTCCCCGCGCACGCTCCGCCTTCGAAGTGGACGAGGCGACGCGGCTCGAGGCGCAGACGCTGGAGCTGGTGTTCGGTTTTGTTTAGTACTCGCGTTCGTACAATACCTTTTCGTACACGTGTTAGTGGTGGTAGTAGCAGCAGCAGTAGCAGTAGCAATAGCAGTAGCTGTAGCTGTAGCAGTAGCAGTAGCAATAACAGTAGCAGTAGCAGTAGCAGTAGCAGTAGCATGAGAATTAGTCGTAATTATTTGCCTCGGACCCCATGTAAACGCGCAAAACCGACATGCCGATTTCATCGGTATTTAAAGCGTTTCCTCTGCTTCATGTGCCGAATATGTCGGTGCCGTCGGTGTTCCCAGCGCCTCCAAATGCGCAGTTTTCTCACCTGCCGAAGCCCTCGGTGTTTTCGTTGCTGTCAGTTCCGAAGCCATCGGTATTTAGAGTGTTTCCTGTACTTCGGCTGACCTTGCCAGAGCGTTCATGCCCAGGTCATTCTGACTGCGTTCCGTAATAAATACTGTACTCCGACCCCATCCCATTGCCAGAGCGTCCATGCCCGAACCGTCATAACGTCCACTCCGACCCCATCCCGCCAGAGCGTCGGCCCTCGTCATCACCGTCATCATCCTGATCGTCCTCCCCTCTTCATCCTCGTCTGTGTTTCCTCTGCACCGTCACTGTCTTTCTCGTCATCTTGATTCTGCCAAGTTCGCCTTTCTGTCGTGCGAAACACGGCTTTTGTCCCATACCAGCCACGCGAAACGACACAAACGCAAGCAACAAACACATGCTTGTACAATTTGCGTTCACCACATTCCCACAGTAAAACGCAATTTTTCTCTTTGGGTTCCCGCAGGAAAACAGCAGAGCCACAGAGACCATCTTCGAGACTTCCGCGTGCAACACATGGGTTTGGTCCCATGCAGGCCACGCAAAACGTAGGTCAGAAATTCTGCCGTTGCATCTGAAATCGAAAAGCGTACAACCATGGAGCAAACGGGTAAACAAGCATGTTCCCATGAGCTGACATGCCATTCGTGCCGCGCAGGCCATATAAAACGCACGTCGCGCGTTTACATAGCGGCCGAGCGTCGTCGTTGTTGTTGTTGTGGTCGTCGTCGTCGTCGTCGTCGTTGTACGACTACTACGAGTACATCGACTACGACCACAACGACCGCGACGACGACGACTACTTCTACTGCTACTGCTGTTGCTCCTGCCACTACCCTTGCCACAGCGTCTGCTACAAACGGTACTACAATGCTACTGGTACGACTGCGAGACAACCACCACTGAAAATAGTTGTAACATGAAAGTAGTCGTGATTGTGGTCGCGGTGACAGTAGTCATGGTGATGGTGTGATGATGCCGCTGCTGCTGAGTGTGGTGGTAATGCTGCACCTACTGCTGCTGCACCTACTGCTGCTGCTGCTGCTGCTGCTGCTGCTGCTGCTGCTGCTGTGATGATGATGATGTACCCCTCTCCAACCTAAATCATCAGCTCGACATTACGATTAGAAGCTTCACCACTACCATCACAAGCACCATCGCCCAATGTCACATCACCATCATTACCAGCAAGAGGTTCGTCATTGGCAACATGATCATCATCAGCATGCTGCTGCTGATGATGCTTTATACTGTTGGTAATCAGGACGATTGTGCCGACGACATCGCGAACAAGCAAGATTTAACTGCTTAGCGTCGCTACCGAAACCTTCCTATTCACTTCCTATGCCGTGCTTTACTGGAAACCTCGATAGTCACACTAATCCAGTAAACCACCCATGTCACTGGTTGATAGTCTGCATGTCATCTCGACAGCACAGGTGGAGGAGTCTGAGAGGATTTTCCGGCGGCCTTCACGTGCCGCTTGATCGAAGGTCTCTGATGTAGATTTCAGGCATATTGCCGAATTTAGGAAACGTGATAGAGAGCACTAGAGGCGAGCTTCGTACTAATCACAAATTCAGTGCAGCAATGCTAGGCGATTCGTGTCGATACATTCACATTAACTTCTGTGTGTCGGCATATGTACTTATGACCTTTATGATTGTTTGTGATTCTGTACGTATGCTTGTCTGCATACGTGTATGTCTGCCCGTGTATGTGCATATGTATGTACAGATCAAAACCTGTCCGATACGTTTATTCACCAAGGTAGTTGATGATAACACCATCGCCAATATGGCGACGGTGTGGCTGATGATGATGGGGCTGGTGATTTTGACAGCGACGGTGGTCGCGCTTCTACAAGTAGGACGATGACGATGGAGGTGGTGAGACGGGGTTCAGCACCGGTGCATGCATAACATGCAAATAGAGTTAAACTCTGGTCTCTAAAGCCTGATCCGTGGTTCTGCTATACCATGCTATACCATACTATACTATACTATGCTACAATATACTATACTTTACTATACTATATTATACTGTGCTATACTATGCTATACTAGACTAGACTAGACTATACTATACTATACTATACTATACTATACTATACTATACTATACTAGACTATAATATACTATGCTATGACGTCCCCGCAGCAAGGAGATCCTTGGCGTGGAGACCCCGGAGCTCTTCTCTGCGGACCCCTTGGGACTGCAGCCACGGCTCTCGCGAGCTCAGTGCGGACGCCTGGTGCTGTGGGGGGGTTTAGGGTTTAGGGTTTAGGGATTAGGGTTTAGGGTTTAGGGTTTAGGGTTTAGGGATTAGGGTTTAGGGTTTAGGGATTGGGGTTTAGGGTTTCGGGTTTAGAGATTAGGGCTTAGGGTTGGGTGGGGGGGCTTCGGTGTAGGGGTAGGGGTTTGGGTTTAGGGTTTAGGGTGCGCGATTAGCTCCGCTATAGGAAATACTCATTGGTAAGCAGCTAAGCTTCGAAACAGACAAGTACGCTCCCACTCATCGGGTCCCACAACTTTAGACATGTTCTGTGTATTGGTTGCATTATGATCCCCCCCATGCGAGCTGTCCAGCACACACAGAAGTTACATGACAGTCCTTGAGACATCAAAACTCAATTTCAAGCATTTGAGTAAGGGTGCTCACAGTAAGTAGGTTGGTGATACGGTTCAATATATAGAAGTATTTGAACCGCGAGGCTCACGATAAAGTGTTTGACGAAAGCCCGGACATGGTCCGGGCCTCTTGCGAAGGTCTGGTGGTTCGCATATGTGTTGTGCCCTAGGTGATGACGCCCGACCGCTTGGGACCAATGTGCGGCCGCGAATAACGTTGAATTGGAAGTGCACCCCTTCACTTCGCGTCCAGGGACAGGGTTCGAAGCTATGCTGGCCGGGACCTACCAAGAAAGGCAAACGCATACTGTAGAGCATCGAGTCGGAAGACGATCTTCCTTGAAACGTGAAGCTCAGCAGGCCGCAAAGACAGTAGTGTGGCCATAATGACAACGCATGTCCTCGCTTCGACTCTTCCATGCGTGCACCTGTGACTGCTCGCCGGCGCGAGCAGGGCGAGAAAGAGCGCGTGCTGAACGCGGCGCTTGGTCAGAGGAACTCCTCCGTCGAATGCTCTCATCGGAGCATGCTACGCATGCTAGAACGAGCGACAAGCTTTCTCAATTGGAGAGCCCGCATTGACAGTCAGAAAGCACGCGCGAGGAGGTCCTCATATCACTGCGAAAGAGCGAGAAAAATCATGGGCAAGACCCGGCAAGGATGATCATCGGTTTAAGGTTTAGGGTTTAGGGTTCCTCTCTTCATCTACAGGACGGAGCGCTGCCGAAAGCAAGCCTAAGTCCGGGACGGGAGGATGTGGCTGACTCGTGTACACGCAGGGAAAGCCAGTGTGACTCTGCCGTTGCCATGAATTGAGTGTCAAGCTCGGGCAATTAAGGCTGCAAGGGGTGGTATAGAAAGTTTTGGTGCCTGGGGATTTCAGGCTTTGCTGGGGCAGGGCCTTTGCACACGTGCAGGCGCCGTTGCTGGCATTCATTTAGCGAGGGTAAGTCCGTTGCCGTTGCGCCCTTCAGGAGCCCTCACATGCACTCACCGCTAAGGTTCATCGGTTGTGAACCACGCGCTAAACCCTGAGCCCTTGAGCCATCTGTGTACTGCCAAGAAAGGTCCGAATCTTGGGTGGGCCACCTTCGAAACCGGCAGGATGTGCTAAAGCCGTTATGTGACCTCGTTTGACCCTCAACCCTAAACCCTAAACCCTAAAACCCTAAAACCCTTAAACCCTTAAGCCCTTAAACGCTTAAACCCTTAAGCCCTTAAACCCTTAAGCCCTTAAACCCTAAACCCTAAACCCCTAAACCTCAAACCCTAAACCCTAAACCCTGAACCCTTAAGCCCTTAAACCTAAACCCTGAAACCCTAAACCCTAAACCCTCAACCCTAAACCATTGAGGTATCGCCAGAACCGCAGCCGCAAGAACTGAGGCTGAGGCCCCGGAGTCGGTTTGTGGTCTTTACCGGGGTTTTAGGTTTTAGGGTTTAGGGTTTAGGGTTTAGGGGTTTAGGGTTTAGGGGTTTAAGGTTTAGGGTTTATGGGTTTAGGGTTTAGGATTTAGGGTTCACGTGACTTCTCAGAGAGCCCTCTAATTTCCTCAATCAAGCAGTATGCTTGGATAAACAGCCTTGTGAATCCGTGCATCATGCCCTCAATGAGCCTGTAAAACAGTCTTAAGGCCTTGTAAACTCACGTAGAGCCCTTCATTCTGAAGTCTAATCCACGGGCCTGAAGCATATGGGAAATACTATCACCTTACAGTCCCTATATAATCTATGCTATACTAGATTACGAATTACGAAAACCCTATTCTGGCTAGTAAGGCCCTTAAACTGTTGATCTTAACCCCTAAACCCTGTTAGGCTTTCTGTTTCTGGGTGACACGAAGCCAGGATCGCTAAAGACGGGGGCGCTGCCGCTTTGAGAGCGCAGCGACTTCCGACTATGCGCAGGAGGCCGCGGGGAAGCCACTGTGTGAGAGGGTTTAGGGTTTGGGGTTTAGGGCTTAGGGTTTAGGGTTTAGGGTTTAGGGTTTAGGGGCGCTGGTTTAGTTTGTCCCAGAGTTTCGGGGTTCGGGGTTTTATGGTTTTAGGATTTTCTGGCTTCTGTTTCAAGGCTGTGTCCCATTCTCGCGCAGGTCGACGTTGCTTACTGCTTTTCAAAGACCGTGAAGGTCGCGGTAAGCCCTCGGCAACAAATGGGTTCTGGAACACACAAAGGGAGTACTGTATACTGAAACAGGACCTTGCATGACTGCTTGGAGTTGAGGTTTTGAACGTTGCGCCCTTCGAGGGTTCCGGACCCATATAAAGTCGTGCATGGCGATTCTTAATTCGCGGGCCACTGCACCTTTGGCGCAAGATTGCTGCCCCAACGGTGGTTACAGGCGCAGTGTCCTCAAAGCCTTCTCGGCATCGGCTGTGCCGCACAGACCCCATCCTAGCCACAGGTCTGCTGTACATACCCGGATGGGGCGTTGCCTATGCCAGTCCTCTTCCGTGTGTCCAGGTACGAGTTTTGAATCGTTGCCTCAGAGTCCTAGACCGTCCTAGGCCGCACAAGGGCCAGAAGAGAGGAGCCTGATTAAGCAGGCTGACCTCAGAGACTTTCAGAGTAAGCCAGAAACGTAGACCCCAAGCTCATGCTAAACACAATCCTCAATTCCAGTGAACGCTACACCCCTACTGTGCAAATTCCTTCGGGGTGTAGGCATCTTACGTGATCAGGGCCCTTCGTCAGGTTATCAGTAACTCAGTAACCATAATTCGGGATGTGGAATGTTATGGTGAATACAACCTTAAATATTGGGAGGATTTCCGTCATCGTGCGGCTCTGTTTGAGCATCGGGCGGCATGCATGTGCCAGACACATCATCCTTGTTTTCGCATGAAAGTACTCACGATGAACAACGCCAGTTTATGGTGCATTCGTCTGGTGTTCACAGTCGTATCTATGAACATGAAGAAAGTCGGTGGATCTTTTTCGCATCTGTGGTACAAAGAGCAGCATCTACGTAGAAGAATGTCAGCGCTGAGATTCTGCCGTGCACTGCCCGGACTCCTGAAGCGGCCCAAGACCCCTAGCCCCGAACCCTAAAGCCCCGCAAACTTCAACCCTAAACCCTGAACCCTAAACCCTAAACCCTAAACCCTAATCCAGAACCCTCATCTTCCCTTTGAAACTATCTTCGCTCTTGTGGGGCCACCCGGCAAGTTCAGAACTATAAGTCGGATGCAAACCATGTCGGATGTCGACGGCGGGACGGCATAAGACCAGACGGAGTTCACAGAGGTCAAGTGTGTAGGAAGGGGCTGCAGGATATCTGGTTCGAAAGACAGAACGCAGGATGGTGTAGTCCAGGCCCAGTCTGGGTATGTGCGGTTCGGGGAGCCACAGTTTCGGGTTGAGGGTTTAGGGTTTAGGGTTGAGGGGTTTAGGGTTAGGATTGAGGGGTTTAGGGTTTGGGAGCCATGAATCTTGCAACATCCGAACCTTCGGTCCTGAAGCTCCTGCGGTTTGAGCTGTCTTCGTTTGACCATGGGATGCATCCGCAATGGCATCATTGCCACCATCGATTTCGCTTCCAGATGCCTTACGGCTTGTTTCTCGTTTCTTCTTGTTTCAAAAATTTGGTTCGCAGAACCTGCATGTTATGCAGAACTGACAAGCTACTGGTAGGCGGGGACGACCAGTATGCCAGATCGCTACTTCCTGTTTCCTTCACTCTTGTTCCTTTTAGCATACTTTCTAATTGTAGATATCTGGCCCAAGTGAGGAACCATTCTTTGAATTTGCTCCTGTTTGGGCCCAGAAGGGCAAGAGAGATCTGTAATCATCTAGATCTCAAGCCTGTGTTGTCCTGTTTTGATCAGATGCCAAGCAGTACAACAGTGCTACACATTTCAAGGATGCTTCTGTAAACCTTGAGTCCAAAACCCTAAGCCCTAAATCCTAGAGGCAGGCTTCCGACCTGTGTTGCGCACGGAGAAAGAGGACACTCACTACACTTAAAAGCAACCCTAAACCCAAAAACACAACCCTAAACCCTAGGCTCATCATGCTGGTTCAAGCTGGGTTGATGCCCACGGCTGTGCAGACTGCGAAGCCCGGTTCTACGAACCTGCCCAGGCGTGAAGTGCGGGCAAGCGACATTGCGGGGCTTTAGATCAACACAGAGTAGGTTTCAGGATCCGACTTCGGCTGAGGTTGGGGGCCCTGATTTCTGAAGCCCCCACTTGGGAGATCGGATCCGATTGAGGTTCATACACATCAATCGATCCGAAAGAGCCGACCACCGTCAGAGTAATCGAGCTCTGAGGCGACGTGGAGGCACCACTTGGAGGTTCATGGGTAGTTATAAGCAGAGTTATAAGTTCCCTTTTTATGGGTTATCAGCAGAGCTACCCTACTTCTAACCCACTTATAACTACCCATGAACCTCCGAGCAGAAGGCAAACAGATCAACAGACAAGCTGCTTGGTGTATCATCTTGCGCGTTGCCGGCAGAAAGCCCCCAAGCATGGTACTCGTATTCGGGAACGGCACGTGCTGTTTGATGCAATGGCACGGCTCTCTTCGATTATCCGGAGAAGCAATGCAGGCGCAGTCTTGAGGGACAGAGCCCGTCGGGCAGAGAGTGCATCTCCAATGCTTTTTCTGTTCTCAATCGTAGTGAGTCAGCGCATTGTTAATCAACTGAGCAGCAGATCTGTCCGCATGCAGCCCTCAGCTGACCACATTCTGCAGTGCTGCGCGATTTGCTCGCGATTTGAAAAGCCCTTTCAAGCGCTGCCGCCCCGGGCAGGTGTTGCGATCTGGAGCCCTGTAGATGTGTGGCAGTCATGATATAGTTGTGATTAAGTGCTGATTAAAGGGAATATGCAGACCTTTAATCATGAAGTGTTCCTGTTCTCGAAGTCATCCTCTGTACCATGGCTGTCGAAGCATTCTGACTGCAACTGCGAGAGTGGTCGCGGCTGCACAAGCCCAAGCACCGTCGTGTCGGTGCAAAACAGTTTCGCACAGCAGGGTTCCAGGTTGCATCAAGCTGAGGAAGCTTGAGCGCATTTCGCAACAGTTGTTTCCGCGCCATCGTGCTGCTGCTGCTGCCCCCGCTCAATGATCCGATGACTACTTCAGTCGTAAGAGAATAGATATGATAGATTTCGGAGACCAACAAACCACCAGTGCACCTGCGCTTCTCGCGAACAGCGGTTGAGGCTGAGCATGTGCAGTGGTGGCATGCAGGATCTGCGGCAGCAGCGCTTGTTTGGAGGTGTGCTGTTCCAACGCCCCACCGCTCCCATGCAGCCAGGAAAAGCAGGCACTGAGAAGATGGACTCCCAGAGTTGGCAATCGCCAAGGGGATCCCTTTGTGCCCAGTTCTTTCAAGACGAATGCCTGCAAGTGCTGCGACTCATCCGAGCAATCGGTTCCGGTTGCTTCGTCCGGTCCGAGCCACTGAGTCTTCAGGCCTTAAGGTCAGTCCCCGAAACGCCCTGAAGTTCCGGACATATCGATAGTTTGAAGACTCAGGCTGTGATGGTTGAGGCCCTGGGGGCGAGTCGGGATGAGTTTGCTGAGAGAAGATAGCGGTCACCTGCGGCCCCTTGATGTCCCTGCTCGTGATGCTGAGAAGCCTTCCCTGGTAGGCTGAGAGCCTGGGGGTGTCCGATAAGTAAAACGCTGTGTTTCGTGAGATACACGCCTTCCCCGACATCGCACACGAGCTTCCTTCGCTCAGAGCCCAGTGACGGGGACATTGATAGGCCGCCGGTGGCCAGTCCAAGGCATGGCGAGTGGAAAAAGTCTTGAGCTTATCGTTCGTTATAGCAATAATAAGAATAACAACAATAACAGGCATAACAGTAATAGCAAACGTAGCAAAAAATAGCAACAGACAAGAATACTGACAATAATGCAACCATCCAAACAATAGCAGAAGTAGTAGTAGTAGTA